TGTGTCCCCGTTACGTAACACAGGGCCCACAGCCTCGCTCCCGTATCTCCTCAGGTCCTCTGAGAGCCTGCCACGGCCTTCTCGTCGATGTCAGGAGGGAGAGTGCAGGGAAGGGGGAACATGAGGCTTATTGGTTTCTGCCGCACGCCAGGACTCCCTGCACGTTGTCTCAGTTAGTCCGTGTGCGGCCTCTGTCCACGCCGGATGTGCCCCAGCCGAGTCCCAGCAGCCTCCTTCCTGGTGTCTCCGTCCCCCCTCTCGCCTGTGTGCATCAGCTGCTGTCGCTTCCATGGTGGCAGCGCCTTCCTCTCTTCCTGGTAGTTCGAGGCACGCCCACCCTTGCCGTCTTGGCCTCCCGGCGCCTAGGGCCTCCTTGCTCTCCTGCGCTGTCCTCCCCCCTCCCCAACTCCTCCCCCAACCCCCCCCCTTGTCCTCTCCTCTTCCTCCTCACCTCTATGGCTTCTTCCCTCTTGCACAACCGGAGGTACCTAGGAGTCAGGTTGGTGCCCGCCTGGGCATCGGTGCCCGCTCCATCCAGAAAGGACCTGAGGCGATCCCTAGTCGCTCCTTGAAATTCCAGGCCAGTAAGAAAACTTTTCGATGGTTCCATCAATAACTCCCCAGGAACTTGTTTTCTCGCCGAATTCAGATACTTTCAAAAACTTGATTCTTTCTCACAAGTTTTAGAGATGAGACAGACGTCTCTCATTCCTCTTTGAACACTGAAAATGCAGGGTAGATAATAAATAGTTGTACAGTTACCCCTTAATTAGAACGCGGACACCTTAAGAATTTCCTCTAAAATGAGAAGACCAGCAACAGAGGAGACAAGCACGCCTGTCCTGCTTGTTGCATTTTCCTGGCCTTACTGGCAACACATTGAAAACATGCCACACATGCTAGTCACACACACACACGCACACACACACACGTGCACACACAGGCTCGTGCGCCTCATTCCTCATGGGGCCGCGCCCACCCCACATCCCACACGGGCTCGCCCAGTCCCTGAGAGACATAAACGAGCCCCCCACCTCGCTGAGAAACCAGGCTTCAGGCAGACTCGGGGTGCGCCGCTGGTCAGCTGGTGACCTGGGGCTGCTTGAGGTCTGCACTGTGCATGCTCGCCACCCTGGGACGGGCAGGGCTGCCCGTCTGCACCTGACTCCCGTGGGGAATGTTAGTCTGGGCCGCATCCCCTGACCGGTAATTCTCTGGCCACTGATGACTTGTTGAAAGGAGGAGGGAAAGTGTTTGGGGTGAGGGGAGGCCTCCTTTTTTAACAACTAGAGCCAAGAATGACTTCATTTACCGTTACACTTATTTTCCATAGGAAACGTGTGCTTTCTTCACGGATAGCAATCCTGTGTCTCCAGTAAGCGAGGCCCTGTGCTGGCCTGTAGGGGCACAGGGCTGGGGCGCTACATCTGGCCCTCAAGGCACTGCCCGTCTACCCCTGGGGAGAAGGGGAAGTCAGTGGTAAGGGCCACCTGACAAATGGGAGGGAGGGATGCGGGGTTTCAGAGGCATGAGGAGCCCCAGCAAGTCACAGGAAGCTCCCACGGGAAGGACACTCTGTGTGTGTGTGTGTGTGTTTTGCGGGCGGGGTGGGGGCGCAGGAGTTTGCGGTTCCTTCAAGGAGTTACAGGTATCAAAACCTGTGCCAAGAACAGAGCTGGTCGGGCCCGTTCACGGCGTCTGTGCAGATCCGGCAGGCAACCCCTGAGGTGGGCAGAGGGCTCCGGGAGTATCTGAGCAGCCGAGGTGTCTAGAGGGCATTAGAGGCTCGGGGCCTCGCAGACGGTTAGTTAGGAGCATTAGAGTCGGAACTCAGTGAAGGTCAGGGGACGGAAAAGGGAGACTCAGTGGGAGCAAACAGAAAAGTTATAATCCAGGGCCTTGAGGCTGTTAACAAGTGAAGAGCGCCAAGATCAGACTGGGGTGGGGCAGAAGCAACCCCGACCGAGCTGGGCTCCACTTAGGTGAATTCACGCAGAATCAGGGGCCCAGAGAGCCTGATTGTGGACAGAGATGGACAGTTCTCTTTGTGGATATGTTAGATCTTCTCCTAATGAAGTTTGGGGTTTCGTCTCCTTAACTGCGAACAAACTGCTGATGCAAATACATGGAAATTGTTCTCGCCCTTTTTCTGCTCAAGGAGCCTGACAATCAGAGAGAGGGAACCCAAGCTATTTTGTTTCAGACAATTAAATATTTTGACTTGTTGGGCATATTCATGTGCTTTAATATTTAACCTTTCCTGCTGCCTACCATTCTCTTTTATAGAAAGCTATCTTCATTGCGTTTTCAAAGTGAAATAATAGATATTCAAGTGCTTTGAAATTTCTAAGAGCTATACAAATGTTAATGATTAATTATTAGTAACTGTCTCCAGCTTGTCTGTGGGGGATTGAGAGTTTTTTTAAGTTATTTTGCATTTACCCTAATGTCTTATATACCAGGGGAATGCTCTGCTCACCTGATTCCAGGTACTGGTCTTATACTATCATTTTATTTAAGGTGACCTGTGCTCGCGGCCGTTTCTTCCTCTAGTCATGCTAAAGACGCTCTTTGGTACTTTCACTTAGGATATAGCATATATCCTACATTTATAAATAGTCACTATTTTCAAAATGCCGGTTTTGGTAAATTGCTATAGATTTCTTTTCCAATTTCATTTTCTACATAGGGGGACTCATAGGTTTCAGAGCTTACATCACACTCTAAGGTGCTGCTCCTAAAAGGTGAACGGCCAGCGTGACGCCCTCAGAGGATGTGGGGCGCCCTGACCCGGTCCAGCCCGCCCGGTTACTGACACGCTCCTTTTCTCTCCAGATTGCCCAAAATCGGATTCATTTCTCACACTCTAATTTGGCAACCTTACATCTGATCTGCAGAAAGCACATTTGAAATTGGTTTCCGATGACCCGTGATGGACCTATTGCTTCTTTTATGTCCAAAAGCTATTACTTTCAAAGAGGCCTGAAAATTTTTACTCTTCAGAGTTACTTTTTGCGAGCTCAGAGGTTTTCCTGATCAACTTTTAAAATGGTGTTCGGATGCTTCTTTTCTTCTTTCTCTTCCAGACATGCACATTTCTGGCGCACGCACATGCGCTCACAGCACTTCTGAAATTTTCTCAATTACAGCATCAGACTCTTTTTTGTTGAAGAGCCTGGCTACAGCAGGAGATGGGTTTAGCCCAACTGGCATCATTATAGAGATCAGGTGGTAACTTATCACCTCAATTTCCACAGCAGTTGAGAATGAAACTCCAGAAACTGGAGGTAGAAGGCACCTGTTGTTCTGAGCCGCCGGGAGCCTCTGGTCCTGGCTCCCCGCCCTGAAACAGGGAGAGGCTCACGTCCTGCCCCGGAGCCTGGACATTGTTCTCCCTCCGGTTCTCTGGTCAGCCAGGATCTTCCCACTGGGGCGTTTCCCAAGTTGCTCAGATGTGTCAGAAGTACACTAGTGTATGACAAAT